CGAACTCCTGACCTTGAGCAATCCACCTGCCTCGGCCTCCCAGAGTGCTAGGATTATAGGCGTGAGCCACTGCGCCCGGCCCTAACTATCATTTTTTAAACAAAGATTAGTGTGCCCATGAAAATTGGCCATGAGGGGACCATCATCTCTTATGTTTCTCAAGGTAGAACAGAAATGTTAAAAACCACTGCAAGAGCAGAAAAATAGCTCAGAGCATAGCTTCTGGAGCCAGGCAGCTGGAACGTGATTCCAGGCTCCACAATTTACTAGCTATATGCCTTACGCAAATTCCTTAACTTTTCTAAACTTGTTCCTTACTGGCAAAATGGGAATAATAATGTGACCTGCTGTGAGGAATACCTGAGATAATAAATACAGTGAGCTCAGCAGTGTCAGGAAAACATTAAGAGCTCTGTGAGTGTAGCTATCATCATTTTTTTCTTTTTACTTTGTAAATAACAAAATATTCACATGGTTCAAAGATCAAAAAATATAACAAGGCATACATTGAGAAGTCCTGTTTCCCTACTCATAACTTTTCATAAGATCTGTGTTATGACATGTAAAGTACTTAATATACTTCCCCCTCCCACCTCAGCCTTCCCCTACAGGTAACCACATGTATGGGTTACTTATGTATCCTTCCTGTATTTCTTTTATAGATTAAAGCACAGAGTCATATATAATCTTATTCTTTTCTTTTGCAAAAGGAACAATATTATACATACTACCTTGTCATTTGATTTTTTTTTACTTTATATTATATCCTGAAGAACTTCCTGTATCTGTATGAGGAAGCTTCCTCATTCTCCTCATAGCTGATTAATTTTCCATTGTGTGAATAAACAGCCAAGGCAACCTGTCTCTTACTGATGAACGTTTAGATTGTTTCCAGTCTCATGTACTAGAAATAATCTTGCAATGAATAAACTTATTTGTATATCATTTTGTAATTGCACTGGTATATCTGAGAATTAATTCCCAGAAGTGATATAAGTGGGTCAAAAGGTAATCACCTTGATGACTCTACTAAAATGGCCCTATTTGTATTATTTTGCACTTTCACCAGCAGGGTATGAGAGTGCTTGTGTCCCACGGTCTTGCTAATAGGAGCTATAGGCCAACTTTTTGATATTTGTCAATCTCATAGGTGAAAAAATGGTATACTGGCATAGTTTTAATTTGCCTTTCTCCTGTTGAGTCAAGTTGCACATTTTTTCATACATTTAAAGGCTGTAGGTATGTTTTTCTTTGTAAACTGTCCATATTCTCTGTCCTTTCTTCTGTTGAATCTCTTGTCTTTCTCTAGGGATTTCTACGATCACTTTATAAATTAGTCCTTTGTCTCTGCTATGAATTATAGATATTTTCCCAGTTTGTCATTTATCCTTTGACTTTATATGTGGTGTGTTTTACTTGAGTTATAATTTTGATATTTAATTTAGTCTTCACTTTTCAAATAGCTGGGAAGGAGCACTAGACTGAGAGTTAGAAGCTGCTGTGTAACATGAGGGAAACTCCTTACCTTCTCTGTGGCCCAATTCCTCTTCTTTAAAGTATGATAATAACAGTGATAGATGTTTCAGGGCTTATGTAGGAATTAAGTGAGATAATGAATATAAAGCCTTAAGGGAGGAGTTCCTGACTCAACTAAGCACTCATAAATGTTAGCAATTATCACTTAATTTAATTTAGTTAAATTTATGTCAACAATCTGGAAAAATACCCAAACATCCATTAATAGAAAAGTTGGGCCCAATAAACTGATGATATCCAAAATGGCAGTTTTTACTCCTACCTTGGTTATATTCACCAGTGCTTTTCATTTTCATATTCAATATAAGTTAACAGGCATTATTTATCAACTACTATTACCCAAATATGGTCTTTTGTTTATTCTTCCATTTATACAGCAAATAGTTACCAAGTCTGCAGCATGGGCCAGACATTGTGTCAGGAGCTGTAGTAAATGTTGAACACATTGCTGAGGGTCCATGTCCCTGTCCTCACTGGGCTTACAGTCTAGTGAGGAATGCTAACAAGGAAGCGGCAATTGCAACTCAGCCAAGTCC